AATGGCTTCCTTTGTGGGAAGCCATGAAATTGAAGTCCTAACAAAAACAAACCTTAGCAGTTCTTTTGGGCCCATTGCTCACTTATTTATCATGAAATCGCTTCACTAGAACATTTTTAATAATGTCTATGGGAAACTTTGTAATTTTCTGAACTAAAGGTTTATGGTTTTGAGGTGTTTATTTTATAAAATAGCACGCGCGACAAAATGGCACTAATGTGGTTTCTCATGTCTGACAAACAACCAAAGATTAAATTTCTTATTTCACCCTTTTATAGCTATGTGGAATACCTGAAAATTAGGTTACCTTTTTCATGTAAGGATATAGATAACATTTCTACACAATAGTCCTTATGAAGGCTTATTTCAAACTCAAAAAAGGAGATTGTTTTTCAGAGCCAGACTTCAAAAGAAACCGCCTGTCTGACATTTTATAGCAGCCTACATTGGCGCGCAAAATAATTTTGGCTTTTAAACCGTTGTTTTCCCAATAGAAGCATGAAAATATTGAGCTAAAAGTCTTACCTGGCATGTGTTTAAAGTGTTTTTCTCTTTATGATGCTTTTCAGTGCTTTGAGCACAGAAGTGAATAGCTTTTAGTTTTGTCACCGCAGAGTGCCTTTCAAAATGTCGGCTGTCATTGTCTGTGTTAAAAACACCTCAGAAAATTCCCATTTTCTCACCTTCCCATCCTTGGTTTATATTAAAATAAATAATTTTAAGCACTGTGTCTTTTTAAATATATTCGAAGCAATCAAAAAACTTTAAAGATGTACAAACACTGTGTTTTGGCTTGCACACTTTGTTGAACTTGAACACTTAGTTACTGTTATAAATTTCATGTTGTAAACAAGATGCCCCAAAAAAGCAAAGAAGTAATTTTTAAATTTTTTGATAATTTCATAATTCATATCCTAAAAGATGAAAATTGGTTGTAATATAGATATGTATTAATTTAGTAAATGATTTTTTTTGGTTTTTATATAAATTTATGGAGATATTGCCCCTTTAGGTGATGAGTGACATGGAAAACAAAGTGTCACTGCTTTATAAATAAAAATACTGACTGAAAAAACTAATGATATATATAGGTATGCAAGGTCATCTAAACTAAATTTGGTCAATCATATATCATTCATGTTTGGTTGAAAAGATCAGACTTTTTTATGCAATTTTTTCTGAGATATTGCCATTTTGGTGAAAGCTTGGAATTCAATCATGAATTCGCCATATTGCTTGCCACTTTAGGGGGTGGTAACATTGTAACAGCTTGCCAGTTAATGAGTTAAACTCTGTAATGCTGTCATGCAATGCCATTGTGAACCAATTGAACCATACTGTACCATACTATTAGCATTAATGGTACCAAGATGTGATGGTCTTAACTCTTTAATAATTCAACACACAAGTGGCTGTCGAAACATTAAATTATAACTGTATGAAGCCACCTGTAAATGATTTCTTGAACTATAACATGTTCCTAGTTTGTAGCATTCAGCTTTGTTATCCATACAATTGCCTGTATACAGTAGTGCTTTAATTTGCAAAACTGTCCATTTTTGAGTAACTATATGCAGGGGTGTGGTTTAGTTATTAGTTACATATAGTGTATAGTAGTTTGATTAATTAAATTTAATTTACCACGTCTAACCCCAGGGCTAGAGCAAGTGTCATTTGTGTATTCAAGTTTGATTCAATATAAAAAGAGAATTAATTTTAAACCTCTCTGCCACTGTGGTAATTAATTGTCAGTATTCAAGGTTTCAAACCAAAAGTTGAGTAGTGTAATTAACTGTTCTAGTAAGAATAGTGTCTGAATTAATATTTATAATTGTGAGTACTATGCACTGATTAATAAAATGCAACATATTTTGTAGGGAACTGATGATGTGAACCGCCGTATTAAAGCGACAGTATCACCTGCAATCCTTTTGTGTGGTACCTCTGTGTTTGATACTTTGGTTATATGTATGTTGTTGGGAAAGGAAAAGTGCTGTGTGAGGCTTTACGTGAATTCAAACTTTTAGACTGTCTAAATCTGTTACTTTTCGTCCAATGCACGTACAATTTGGATTTATATAAAGTCCACAGAAGTGCAATGATATTTTTAGAGAAAGAGAGAAATCAACCTTTGCAATGAACTCTAATAACCAAATCCCTCTTAGTGTTAATCAAGTTTTTACTCTGTTGGGTCAGTGAAGGATTAAGACTTTAATGCATTCTCTTTACGTTTATGCTTGTATATAATTAGCATTTAGTGGCGTATTAAATCCATTTTTTAAAAGTAGTGATTTGTCTGTTTAATTACGTCCCATCTTATTTTCTGCACTGAAGGCTATGTTACACGAAACGATATTGAACGATGATTTATTGATTTTTGAATGTTAGAAATCATTTACATATCATATCATACCTAAATATTGTGATGATTGTAACAGCTTACGACAAAATTTTTACAGAGAGTTTTGGATAGCTGAAACGACCTTTTTGAATAGCTGAAGCGACCCTTTTGAATAACTGAAACGACCCTTTTGAATAGCTGAAACGACCCTTTTGAATAGCTGAAACGACCCTTTTGAATAGCTGAAACGACCCTTTTGAATAGCTGAAACGACTCTTTTGAATAGCTGAAACGACCCTTTTGAATAGCTGAAACGACCCTTTTGAATAGCTGAAACGACCCTTTTGAATAGCTGAAACGACCCTTTCGAATAGCTGAAACGACCCTTTTGAATAGCTGAAACGACCCTTTTGAATAGCTGAAACGACCCTTTCGAATAGCTGAAACGACCCTTTCGAAGGGTAACGTCCCTACCCTTTGAGGAGTTAAAACTACCCTCTGAAAAGGGTAGAATCTACCCTTTCGAAGAGTAAACACCGAAGGGACTGAAACGACCCTTTTGAAAGTGTAGTCCTGGGGTCAAAAAAACTACTCCTTTGAAGGGGTCAAAACTACTCTTTTGAATTTACAGTGTATATATATATATATATATATATATATATATATATATATATATATATATATATATATATATATATATATATATATATATATATATATATATTATCGTGCTCGTCATCATATTATCGTGCTCGTCATCGTGTTCGTCAGTGGTGCAGACAGCACGTCTTTCAAGCAACTGCCCAAGAGAAAATTTAACTTATACACTGATTCAAACATGACTGATTCAACAAACATTGTGAAACGTTTAGAAGAAATTGGATGTCAAGGTCTTTCTAGCTTTGAGGTCGATCGAAATAAAATTAAATGGGGAAACGACTTCGAGCATCTCAAGAAGTTCGTTCATGATTGCCTTGGAATCAATGGGAAATGGTCTTCTCCTGGCGGGGGAGCAAAACGTTTTAAAGCACAAGACGACAATTTCAGCATAAACTGGTATTTTAAGAAGCAGTCAACGCTACTTTTCCAGAGATGTTTAGGAGAAGTTTTTAAGAACAAAATAATAGAGCTACTTAGCGAAGAAACACAGAAGAATGGAGCTGTCGAAACCGTAGGGGATTCTGTGATTCAAAATCAAAGTCAAAACGAAGTCATCAGTGTCAGTGAAACGACCCAAGAGAGCTTTCTGAACACATCTGACGATATTTCCCAAAACAATCCATGCAAGGATTCAAACACCTGCCAGAAAAGTCAACCTACTTCCACCGTATGTGGTTGTAACTGCAAATCATTGGCAACAGATATCGCAGGTATTCAACTTGATATGATAATTCTACAGAACCGTGTGGAGGGAATGTTTAATGCAAAGACTAACATTTCTCCAAACGAAGAAGTAATGGCGAAGCTCCAGCTTGAACTTAAACAACAACAGCACAGAAATCAAATGCTTGAAGATCGTGTAAAAGCAGCTGAACAAGAGAGAGACTCGCTCCTCTTAGCTTTAAAGCTCATTTATACACAAGATCAACGCCATTCCCATGAAAAACAAATTAATGCTAATGACCGGGATGACTTTCAACAACCGAATCGAGATACCCATGCAATCCCGCTTAAAAATCAATTCTCTTCTCTTGCTGTCGAGGAGACAAGTGAAAGCGTATCTGCTTCAACGACAAACCTCGAAAATCAATCTACAAGGAAGCGTGTTAAAGAAGAAATTGTTCTTATTGGTGATTCAATAGTGAAACACATCGACCCTCGAAAACTTACAAAGAAAAAATTTATAAATTTACATACCCAGGGAAAACTGTCGAAGATATTGAAAAGGAACTTAACATTATATTAATATTCAATCATCTCCCTCCCACGTAATTGTTCACGCTGGAACAAACAACATTCCGATAGACTCAACCAAAGTATGTTCGAAGAAATTAGAAAGGCTTGTTATCAAAACCAAAGCAAAATTCCCTAATTCAAAAGTTGGTTTATCTGGAATCACGTTTAGACAGGACATAGAACAAGCAACTAAAATACAGGAAGTCAACAAGAAACTCGAAGAAATGGCTGCAAAGCACGATGTTATGTTCATTTATAACTCTTCCATTGTCAATGGAAGAGTTATAATCAATGGACCATTGATCACACATGTTTAAATGGTAGCAATCTACATGTTAACGGCAAAGGTTCAGCAGTCCTGGCCTCACATTTTATTACCTTTCTGAAAGGAAATCAACCCCGTGTTGTTCAAGACACGACTCGTTCTGAGAAGGATTTTCGTATGGCAACAAGCAATCAAATAGGGGACATGCTGAAAGCGATACTCGTGGGGAACTCTCGCAAAATTCAACGATAAATTCACGGTGTGATTCGGACCCAGTTTCTACTTCTCATGGCCATA